AGAAACAGTTAAAGACAGGTATATAAGATAGGTAGGTATATTATATATACCTATCTTTAACCGAAAAAAATGCAGTTTACATATTTTCGCATTTTTTCCACAAATTAAGAAATGTTTCATTTTTTAAATTTTCCTCACAATTGGCATTTTTTTTTTTTTAATAAATTCAGAAATTTTCTATTTACAATCCCAAAGGTTCACTTCTAAGTAAAGTATCAGTCGTAAACTCAGCGGGTGGTTATAATCCATTTCTTGTAATTTGGAATTTGATTGGAAAAACCTGTAAGCTCTGTGTAGGGGGGATAAGTAGGTATACAAGAATTTAGATTTTAAGATGTTGAAAAGCAGAAGTTTATTTCGGGTCTTATTCGGCCTTGGGTTGATCTGTATTATTTTATGAGTGTAACGAATACATTTATCGAGAAAATACGGATAAAAGACAAAACATTCTTGTCGAAAATTTTGAAAACTGTCTAGTTGTCAATGCTTTTTAACCGACTTTAAAAAGGAGGAGGTTCTTAACTCGTCGCGATATTTTTTTTTTATGTATGTTCAGCGATAATTCTTCAACACAGTGTCCGATTTTAATTTTTTTTTTTTTTGTTAAAAAGGGGGTACTTCAGGGGTGGTCCCATATAAATTTGGTCAAAATATAATAATTGGGTCCGTGAGAAAATCCTCAAACTCTTCATTTTTTATGTATGTTTAGCGATAATGCTTTACCACCTTGTCCGATTTATATTATTCTTTTTTTGTTAGTAAGGGGATACCTTAGGGGTGGTCCCACATAAATTTGGTTAAGATGTGGTGACGGCATCTGTACGTTTTTGAAGTCGGTTTTTTAAAATTTTTAATTTCTAATACTTGTAACAATTTTAATAAATAGGATATGTATTTGTTAATATACTATGTTCTTATGTATGCTAGTGTTTAGATAAGTATTATGCAATTTTAGGTGCCTATTCAAAATAATGGTAAATAAAGTATGTACTTAAAAATTAACTATTGTTTTATTTAAATGTTATTATATCCAACGTCTCATAAAAATAAATATAAATCAATTGCATTGAAATGCGCATTTTTTCATATTTTGTGCATTTTTTCCAGTCCTTGTATAAAAAATGTGTAGAATTGATAATTAAATTCAGAAGGGTCATAATTATGATCATCAGATAGTTCACATGTCATTATACACTTCATCTAAATTTCATTTTATTCTGATAATTATTATAAAAGTTACAATATGTTAAATAAAAGATGACTCACTCGGTATCAAAAAACTATCGATGTCGCCAGAGAAGCTCTTGAGGTTACTATGGAAATATTTGAACTTGATGTAGAAGCAGGGAGGTGATAAGGTGGTAAGGAGATGACGTCAGGTGATATTACTGTTCCTATCTTCACTGATTATTTAAAAAAGCACCGCCATGTAATGCCATTTAGTTAGTACGACGATAATCTATGTAGAGTATTCTAATTAAATTGATATATTTGTGGTATATTAGAAACTCTAGACGTAAAGACTTAATTGTATACATGAAGCATTTGAGGTTGACCCAAAACCTATCGATATCTAATATTTAATATCATTTTCCACTAGATATGTTTAATGCATTATAAATATATTTTAAAGCAAAAAATTTACAATTTTATTAACTACCTCTAAAAAATATATTTTCCTCAACTCTACCGGCACACAGTCTAAATCTAGATGAAAGATGTTCTATTCTAAAAAAAATACTCATTAATACTACTTCTAGCCTACGTTTTAAATAATCTACCGCTTGTAACATAAGCTTGCCAACCCCTTAACAACGAAAACAATTTACAAAAAATACAGGGCACAACACAACATCAAGACAGAAATTTTTTGATGGTCGAAAAGGAAAAAATTAATAAATCGAAAATAAGGTAAAAAAATCGGTCTTTTGGTACAATTATGTTTTGAAAATGATTGTTATGATGTCATTTTATGGATTATCGAGTATATGAGCAATGAGTATTTTTAATAATTATTGTAAATGTTTAAGTTTTTGCATAAAATATGCATTCTTTAATATAGATTAATAAAAAAATGATTTGTGTTTCTAAATTTTATTACTCATTACATCATATACGAAGATTTTTTTATACATATGTGAGAGGTTTTGAAATTGACAAGTAAAATTTGCTAGAACATAATTATTTTAACACACCTTTGATACATTTTTGATGAAATCTTCCGTTATTCCACTAAACATTATTTAAAATTATTTTCAAACGACTAAATAGGTGATAAAATTAAAACCAATAATATTAAATTGCCATTAATTAAAAAACAGTGGAGATGCTGTTTTACTTTTCACGCTTATTAGAAAATTATCCTACAAATAAGAACAAATATAAGATCAAGATCCACGCATTTCCTTAATATTTTTTAACGTCATCCTGTTGCCCTACCCTCACTTGATTATTTAAATTTGGCGCGCTTTTTTTATTGTTTCACCATAATTTTTGTCCCGACCAACTGAAAGTGTCATCATTTTTAACTTTATTATTTATAAAATAAAGTCCTATTTGGTTACACTTCGGTAGTGGATTACTAAAAAATCTTATTGCACAATTATTTGGTTCTAAAAAAGAGGTTACCTGTAAAGTTTACCGGTAGTTTTGAAAATGGGTAATTTTATAGATATTGATGTGTTCTTTTCGAATTTCAACTTTGCCACTCGCGTTTTCATATTGGAAAAATGGTTTTTGACAATATCTTCTTCCCGAATTATTTCACGATAAAAACATTTATATACAAAATTAATCTTGTAAAATTGACGTACGAGCGCCGCAAAGTGTAGTTCAGCATGCGTTTAGGTCGAAAATACTAATTTCCACACCACCTTGAGGTAGAGTAAGCGTCGCGTTTTTTTTTTACCGTGGTTTGCCCAGTAGGCCTAATCCAAATGCAATTCACTATTCCAAAATTTAGTGAGTTCTCGTTCGCTTTGCTGTTCTGGATGAACCAAGTTCATTGTCTTTAGTACCGATCGAAACGTCACAGACCGAAATGTCTTCCACATCATCCGCGACGAGATACATGCTTGACATCAACATATGAAAGTAAATTTAATACTGCATCGCTACCTTCAAGAGAAGCAGCACGATAACATTCCTTCCGAACTTATCATCAGGTTCAGCAGTGGTATGGGAATGAACAAAATGCAAAGCAATGGAGATGGAAAATAAACAAGAACGGGCTAATTTCTGTCACCATACTGGAGCCCTAGCTCCAGAAAGCTTATTAAACTATTTCTCGCAAAACAAAAAGAGATGCAAGAAGGCTGGTACTTCGTTATGTGCACGAATTGTAGTGGTACCTATGATAACTCGCAAGTTCTATTATAATATAGCAATGAAGAGGAAGAACCTGAAACTATTTTCGAGCAAACGTATGATGAAATTGAGGACGAATAGGATTGATTGGGATAAAAATGATAAACCCATCACGGATCATGTGAGGGTAATTTCGGTTTGTGACTTTTAGATCGGTACTAAAGACAATGAACTCGCAACACCTGGTTCATTATAAATAGCGACGCAAAGGAGAATGCGCTAAATTTTGGAATAGTGAATTGCATGTGGATTAGACCTACCACGATAAAAAAAGGCGTGTTGTCTACTATACCTCAAGGTAGTATGAAAATAAGTTTTTTTGGCCAAAACGCGTGTAGAACTATACTTAGCGGCGTTCGTATGCCAAAACTATTGATTTTACGAAAAAAAAAGGTAATTACATAATTTGATGACCATTTTCTCTAGTTTCATTTTGCAAATAAATGTTTTTATCGTAAAATGAGTCAGAAAGGAAATATTGTTAAAAAACTGCTTTTGGGCGCCATTTTTCCAATATTGCGGCGCAAGGGGTGAAGATACGCGGTGGGAAAGTTGAATTTCGAAAAGAGCACATCGAAATGTATAAAATTACCAATTTTCAAAACTTCCTTTAAACTTTCCAAACTACCAATAGACTGTACTATTATTACTAATGTTCTATTTATACTTGCATTATTATTATTATTATTATTATCATGATATAGCATAAAACTTGAATGAAGTATTCAAAAAGGGTATTGATACTCGTTTTATAACTAGTATTATTAGTGTAATGCTTTTTTTTAATCCTAATAAGAAATAATTCTGCAGTCAACAAAATGTATGGTTACTGAAGAAATGTGTAAGAGGCCAGTTGTGTTCTTAGAATATTTTTTACGATATTTGAGTTTTAAAAGTATTTTTATTAATGTTTTTAGTAGTTAATTTTATTTTAAAATATTATTATTCAAAAATAGGTTTAACTAAGGACATTTTAACGGATTTATGTCTCCAATTTATATCAGATTGAGACAAATCAGATAGAAAAGAGGCCTTTACTTCCACGTAATGACATGTCATTTTGTTAAGTACATACTCGGTAAACACTGCTGATATTACACGTATTTCTCGTACTCGTAGTATAAATTGTCTCTAGTATGAATCATGTACACATAAACACTTTTTATTTTTCTATGAATAAATTCGAGAATAAACATAAACAACATAATCATATGTATATTGTCCATTGTCATTATCCGTTGTCTATCAAAAACAAAGGCCAAATTTAATATTTAACATAAAAGTTGAACCTGTCAATTATTAAGCATAAATATTAATGATAATAACCATAAATCGAGTATAAATATACCAATTATATTGTAAAGGTTCATCTTAATCCTTAATCATAATAATAATAATAATGCAAATACTAATAATAAGGGAGTATAAATAGACCTTAAAACATTTTATCTTTAACTAACATTAACTTGCTAAAGGGAATAAAATAAAAACAAAGGATATTTGACCGTAGCTCATCTAAGATAATAAAGCATATAAATTTTACAGTACGTCTAGCAAATTTCACTCATCACCCCAATCATCTTCTGCTCTATACACAAAATGATACACTCCCATTCCCGAACCCAAATACTTACCGGTTATAGAACAAAGTAGCCGTAAGGTCGGCGCTGAGCCCGAATACTGGTTGATCATGCCTTGAGAATGCGCCCTTGGAGCCGGCATGCTCAGAGTGATGGCCTTGTGGAATTTTCTTCGTCTTGGTTCAACGGTGACCACTGGAGATACGGCGACACCGTGACCGAGGAGTTTGGCTGCCAGTTCGGGGTCTATGGGTTGAGCCTGAAGAGAAGATTTAGGATGTGGAAGTTTTGTGGGTTTGCGTAAAAATCATGTGCTAGTTTTTAAACTGATAATAGATGAAAAAAATTCCGAACAGTAACTCAGTAATAGATTATACTCGACAATTTATTCGATTTTGAATAAAGTTTATGATTGAAAGTACCATCAGGTCTCGAATGGTCACTTCTCTTTATTTATTTATATATTTATATATACTGCTATCCCAGCAAGAAAGGTTCAATGCAAATTTGTTGTTTCGAGATAGTTGAGTTTTTAGAAATTTCTTATCTGCTGAATGTTTTTCTGAAGCTTTGTAATTAAGCTATATTTTTGTTTATTCTATAAGCTTATCCTAAAGTTAATATATTTTAGAGTTTTTTATAAAATCGGTAGGTAGGTAGTTAGGACGTGTTGTTTATCTAAGTGATTACACAATTTGTCCAAAATTAAACAAATTTTTCCTATTTAGGTATTAAAAAACAATATATTTCTATCGTTTTTCATAACATGATACATTTGCTTTTTATAAAATACTATTTTAAAATGTCCTAACTACGCTTTGTTATGTACAGATAGGACAACTTACGTTAGCATATGTCAGTTAAAGTTGGTATAAAGGGTAGTTTGTTCTGGGACGAAACTTTTTTGAACAGTTAAGTACCTTTAGGACATTAAGCTTTAATACCATAATAGATAAAATGTGGACAAACACAAAGAGCTAAAACAGTAAAAAATTAAAGCTCAGGTAGGGCCTTTCTTGTTGGGAAGTCAGTATGGTTTCTGGTTAGTTTCTTTGATTTGTCCTTAATAGTTATTGATCACATAATATTGTAGGTACACTACAAAACAATACCGCTTATTCACAGGATTCTAACCAAAAATAAAGAACCCACGGAAATATCGACTTAAGAAGGATTAATTATTGATTTACATAACTGTTCTGTATTGCTGTTGAAATAAACCTAATCATTTCTTACGCCGCCAGTTAATGATCTCTTTCATTAGCTAGGCACATTCTTAGGGAATTTGGAAGGGATTGATCTAACGGAAATATCGGATTTTTATAAATAGTCACCATACATTAATATACCAATTTATTCTGGAGTTTATTCGGTAATATACATTGAAATATGAACTTAAAATTTTACAGAAACCTTCAAACTTATCGACACTTTAAAACACTTTAAACAATTTTAAACCCACTGACACTTAATATATTTATATACAGTGTGCGCAGTTTTTTACAAAAAAATTTTATACAGGGTGTATCATGTAACAGTGGCCAATACCAACTTTCCTTTTTTAAATGCAACACCCTGTATATTTTTCAATTTTTGGATTCTTCAGAAAATTCTAGATATATTTTATGTACTGTCCTATACCTAACTGTTTTGGAAATTTAAAATGTTTTCTGATTTATTGCAAAAAATAACATTATTAAACTAAAATAATTTTATCAGAGAAATTCGCTACAACACACTCAAAAACTAATAAATAGTACTGTTTATTTCTTGATAATGTAACAAAAAAAAAACATTTCGATGTAGGAGATCTTCAAAATGCTCGCCGCGAACCTCTTGGTAACATCCAAATCTGAAATAAAAATGTCTTCTAACGATACTGAACATCTCAGGCGTGACCAATCTAATTACAAGCGTTATTCATCTTGTTAAGTCGGCTAGGTCGAGAGGTTTAGTTTTGTATACAATACTTTTGACATATCCCCATAACAAAAGTCTAATGATGTCAGATAAGAGAATCGTGCTGGCCATTCCATCGATCATCGCCTCTCTATCCACCGATTTGGAAATACTCGATTGAGGTACTGCTGAGGTACTACTGGTAATGGGGCGGTGCTCCATCTTGCTAAAACGATATCATATTCGCTGAGACGTGTGGGTTTGCCGGATCGAGATATAAATGAGCTCTTGATTTGGTATTATTTTACAGGGATGCATTTTATTTTCTTTTAATGTTTGAATAATCGATGAATGGCTAATATTGAACATTGGAGCTGCTTGTCGACTAAAAGTATGTGGGTTCTCCTGAAACTCAAGCATAATATCCAATTTGGTGTCATTAGTTATTGCATTGGTAGCTGTTTTTTTATCAGCCTTACTTGTCCAAACTCGCGAAACTACTTCTCTATTTTACTAATTGTCCCTTGGGTTATACGCGGCAAATTTGGAAATTTTTCATGAAATAAGTGAGTTACTTCCATTTGTGTCCGTGTGTTATCTTCATAACCAGTCATCTATAGAATTGTTATGTTGTGCATTTCTATTAAATAAATCATTTTTCTGATATGCAGTTAAGAAAATTCAAACGACTATAACACTGACAACTACTGTCATTTAGTCATATAACAATTTGCTAAGGTCAGGCATTTTAAACTAAAGTAAACAAAACTAAGTACAGCTTTTTTATTTTATATCAGCACTATACCTAAGGTTTTTGAGAACATTATAACAGACGGAATTTCCTACGACTGCTCTGGCGCCATAACGGATCAACAATATGGTTTTTGTGCTGGGAAATCAACTGAATTAAATATAGTTACCTACGTCGACTTCCTGTCGGAAGCTTTGGAGAAGGGTTAGAGTAAACGTACACCATTCTAACTCATTTCAAGTTACCTCAGGTGTTCCTCAAGGATCACACCTTGGTCCCTTATTATTCAACTTATTTATAAATGACATGATTCATTGTTTTCAGTATGGCAAAGCACTATTATTTTCAGATGACTTAAAAGTTTTCCCAATTATTAAAACCATTTATGATGCCCTCTGGCTTCAGTCTGACCTTGATAATTTATCAAACTGGTGGTCCTTAAATATCATGGACTTGAATGCTATAAAGTGCCATGTCATGCGCTTTTATCGATACCATGTACCAACTACTACTTTTAATAATAACTTAAATGGTCATATCTTGGAGTCTGTTAATCAAATTAAATATCTTGGAGTTATTCTGGATCCCACTTTAAGCTTCAATCAACACATACTGAAGACTATCCATAAATCCATGAAAATGTTAGGTTTTATCAAAAGGCTAACACATGATTTTACTGACAACTGCAATTGTTCACTAGTCCAACCTCACCTAGATTATTGCTCTTCTGTCTGGTCTCCACATTACATAAATCACAGTAGAAACATAGAAAATGTGAAACATAAATTTCTTAGATAGAGTATGATTTGATAGAGAATTTTCTAAACATCCCCTCTTTGAAAACTAGGAGGAAACAGAGAGACCTGACATTACTTTTCAAAATTATCAATGGAAGATGCAGCTGTACTGAACTTCTAATAAAAATAAATCTTTATGTCCCAACGCGCTCAACCTTTTTATCGTTTAAACCATACTTTTAGCAGCTGTATTCCAAGAATGTTAAGGTGATTACAGCACCCCTTATAATTTTCGAACAAGCATATCTCAAAAAGTAATTTTTTAAAAAAATTAAAATAATGGCAAAATCAATGAGGCAATAGTATCCAAAATATGCATATATTTTAAAGTTTTAGTTCCTTCCAGTTTCCAAGAAAAAAAAATCAAAGAGCTATAAATTTTGAAATATCATAATGAAAATAAAAGTATTCCTCAACAGCACTATTCTTAATATAATCCACAAATTTAAGCTCTTAATCTCTTGTTAATGTTTTTTTAAAATTCGCCGAAATTAGTGGCTAAAACGCCTCGTTAAGTGCTATTTTCTGGTTTAAACTGGTGTAAACTGGTGTAAATCATTGCAAGAAACGAATGATGACTCAGAGTATACGATACGATAGTTGCAGTCGCATTACACCAGAAAGCAGCATTTAACGAGGCGTTTCAGCAACTAATTTCGGCGAATTTTAAAAAATCATTAAAAAGAGATTAAGAGCTTAAATTTGGGGATTATATTAAGAATACTGCTTTTGAGGAATGAATTTATTTTCATTATGATATTTCAAAATTTAAAGCCCTTTGTTTTTTTTTCTTGGAAACTGAAAATAAATAAAACTTTGAAATATAAGCATATTCTAGATATTATTGCCTAGTTTATTTTGCCAAAATTTTAACTTTAAAAATTACTTCTTGAGATATACTTGTCCGAAAATTATAAGGGGGTGCTGTACTCACTTTAAGATTAGCCAACACTCATAACGATCTTGAGATATTTAACACCCCCTTTCATAAATTTATAAAGCAATTACTTTGTACTGAGCTTTAATCTTTGATCTTTAATTTTTAATGTTTAATGTAAATATTTTATTTTACATAAATCTTTTAAATTTTTTAACTATTTTAGTCTATGAATTATACCACGCTTGTATTTCAGCATCATATATATTTCACTACATTTTAATTATAATTTTAAAATTGTAATTTATTTTTCAAATGGGATGCCTGTAAATAATTAAATAAATAGGAACTCTGAAATGGTGTTTTGAAACATTGTACATAAAATACGTCTTGAATTTTCTGAAGAATCCAAAAATTTAAAAATATACAGGTTGTTGCATTTAAAAAAAGAAAGTTGGTATTCGCCCTTGTTACATGACATACTCTGTAAAAAAAGTTTTTGTTAAAACAAATGTGCAACTAAAAATACCAATCGACGTGTCCGATCGGTTTTCCGAACACGCCCTCATTTAATTATTACCGAATTTATTACATTTGGCTGTTTCACACTATACTTTTTACATTAAAATCTTTAAAATATAAATAAAATTATTTTGTTTCTTTTGTTGTAAAAACGGCCAAATATAAATATTAGACTATTGATAGAACAATAAATCATTAAAAAACTTTTGTAAACGCTTATAATTCCTTAGTTTCTGTTCTTCAAAGCTTTAGAAGGAAAATAGAAAATATTATATATTTATTGATATGACAATTGACATTTCTATGAATGCAATATTGCCAAATATAATATAAAAAAAATACATGTCAGGAAATAGGTCGGTTAATGAGAATTAACTCTTTGGTAATGGCTCTAGAACGTACATCGTAGCCGA